GGACAGTAGCCCAATGAGAAGATCTGCAACAAGCACAGAGCAGGATCAGCAACAACATCAAAGCAGCCAAGAATCCCCTAACCAGAATCATTAAAACAACCCTTAACTGCTACTTCTAAACTGAATGCCTAAGACATGTCAGAAAGGTTACTCAGTACTATAACTGGATGTACAGAAAAGTTTTTTTCCCACTTTTTGTTACCTGTGAGGTAAAGTCATGCTGCTGGAGCTGTCGCCCTTCCCTCAAATCCCAGGAGCGGACCGTGTTATCGAGTCCTCCGGTCCACAGTTTGGTCCCGTCGTGGGAGATGTCAATACAGCTGGCTCCATCCGTGTGGCCCTGGAACTGCCTGGAACAACAAGATGCCAAAAATTAGACCAGGAACAAAGAAAGTTCTCCATGCAGGTGTCTTATGTTGACGTTTGGCCGTTTTGTTAAATGCAGTGTTTAAAACAAATCCCCTGCTCCAAAGTACTGACCTGACCAGGGTCTGGTTATGGAGGTCCCACACAGCGATGTTTCCATCGGAGCAGCAGGAAAAGCAGACCTTGGCGTCAGGGCTGATAGCCAGTGCGTAGCAAGCTGGGGCAGAGGAAGTGAGCTCAGCCTTTATGCGGGGCGTCTGTGAGGCCAGGTCCCAGATGGTCAGTGTGCTGGCCTCGCCACCCACTATTAGGGTGCGGCCATCAGGCAACAGCTTGCAGGAGCGGATGTAATTGTCTCTGTTCTGGAGCATAAACAAAGACAGGGTATCGCCCCAATCTTAATGACTGGATATAATCTGTGTGTTGTGTTTTTTTTCCTACATGTGAAATATCTGCATAATTAGTGATTTGAAGAAGACACTGTTGCATTTCTGCTGAAAAACAAAGGCATCAGCGACACACATCAGTGTATTAATTTAAGGCTTCCTTTTTTTAAACTCAAAAGCAGCTTTTCTTTGACAAGTTTTCACACTGTAGCCGACTCTTGTTTCTGATACAGCGAATATGTGGATGTCAGCGTTAACAAGAGATGCAGAAAGAACGTGTGGGGCTGCAGCTGTTGGCCAGGCTCCGAGAAAGCAAGAAGACAGATCAATAGGACCGTGGGAGCTCTTGGTGGAATTAAAACAGCACCCTGATGACTTTATAAGACCCGATTGCACTCTGGACGAACCTTAAGGGTGTTGGAGGCCAGACGAGTATAACTGCATGAAGCCACAGTATCAAAATGAGAAACGGGAGGCAGTTGGGAGGAAGTAATGAGCTGGGTAATGGCAGACAGGGTTGGCCAATCAGAACATCATTACTCAGCAGGCTTTTTTTTTCCCCTCCCCCCCCTCCTCTTACCAAGGATTATTTCAGCACAGCAGTGAGACACTATGCTGAATTATTCACATCTGTGTCTGCTGGGATGAGGAGTAAAGCTACTGGGGGATGTGGGGGTCAGGCTACATTTGATGCTTAAGAAAACCCTTAATGAAGTGACCAATCACACAGACTTCATGAAACATGAATGCATTATGTCTGTGCTCTGGTTGGAAGCCTTACAACAGCTAGTCTAATGGCACGCATCTAAATCACATTTCACACTTTCTCCTCC